CACACTGACACACCCACATCCACACCCTACACACCCACACCCACACCCACACCCACACCCACACCCACACCCTTCGTTAGTTTCTCGGTGACTGTGATTATTTGACTCAAAAATGGCCATCTTCTGAGCTTATCAGTACAAACCCTTTGATTGTAAGCCAAGGAAGTTTTTTCAATAAATTAAAACTGGTTGCAATTCAATCAGGTTTGGCTCTTTTGTCAAAACGCTATTGTTTTCTTTCTCAATACTAAAATGCATTTTACTACATAGCACTCATCAAATTTACCTCTATAACAGATTCATTTAAATCGTGTAATTTTGAGTCTAATATTTCCAAATGTTTGCCTAAACGCTAGCAGACTTTGTATTATAGAACACCATTTTTAATCATAATAAGCATGTGAATATTTTAACTTCTCTGTAAGAAAAACTCTTTTTGAATTAGAAAACTTATATAAAGAAATACATTGTGGTCCATTTAGGAAAAAAAATGCGTCTCGTTGCAGTAGAATAGCAGTGAAAAATCGCGTTCGAATTGTGCCTATTGAATACAAATGACGCGCTTATCATAAACGCGTTTGAATAATATTTTTAGGTAGCGTTTTAAACTGAAGAAACGTGTCTCAGAAAAAAATGATGCGATTAAATGGGTGACAAATAAAAGTCCATGCATTTGAATGTATCGAATCAAAACTGAGTTGTTTAAACAAAAAATAGACTTTTTGTACCCTGAAAGTTGGCGTTGAAACGCTGTACTTACCAAATATTGTTTTATTTATAAAAATATAAATATGCATTTGCACATACAGATATTTTTCTAGTCGATACCATTCAAAGAAGAGTATTTATTACAAACTTCTACCTATTCATTAACAAAAATATTTTTCAATTCTCCAAGGGTGGGGTGTGGGTGTGGGTGTGAGTCTTCTCTTCAGCAAGCACACTCACGTCCATCTACACCCACACCCACACCCACACCCGAAAAGTTGTTTTTCCTATAAAAACACACCCACACGCCCACACCCACTCTGTGAGTAATAATGATGATAATGTAATGTTTTATTGATTAGATAACATGAACTCAGACGTAACGCACTGTTAACACAAGAAAACTAAATCATGAAAAAAGCTGCCGATGAAACCTAGAGGGTGTGGGTGGGTGTGAGTGTCATTGAACAAATGAGCCACAGTCACGGCGACACCACCCACATCGACCCCACACTCACACACTGATTGTATAATGAAATGGTCAAGTAACTGCACTGTTTTTATCAACAATTGATAATCTCATTCGCAAAAATGTTTTGTGTTTTTAATGCGTATTGTTATTGGTAAGCAAGCCTGTAAGTAACTTGCATCTTGACAAAATCGATATTTCCAAGGAAATGGATGTTTGCTAATATCAATATTCAACCTTTTTGTAGACGCAGTTCTTTGATTGATTAACTGAACATTTATTTCATTACAATCAATAACTAATTCATAAATATCGCCTTTTTGCGTTGGTGTGGAGAGAATTCCTGAAAGTGGTGCACCGAACCAAATATCAAATGTTACATTGTTCATGCTACTTGTACTTAAGGAAAACTCAACTGCTCTATATAAATCAACAATCTGAAATTCTATATGATGTTTACCAGTAGAGTATTGCAGATGATTACCAGCTGATAACGTTTCATATTGACAAAGCGCGTCCAAACTTGATGTATTTCGTTCATATAGCATTATTACTTTTCCATTTTCGTTTATTTTTATATTTAATTTTTGTAAACGTTCTGGTCTAGATCGATTGAGCCATACTCTATTACTTTCTGACAACACTATGAAACGTTCTTCATAATCTTCCGCACCACAAGTTTCACAATACTGTTTATTCAATGGATCTGTTCCAAGTATACTTGCATCCTTTATCAATTTTATACCATAGTAATGTTCCAAAAGAAAATCAGATGAACGTGAAATTAGTTGAGAATGTAAATCATAATTGATTATGAAGAAGAACGCTTCTGTTTTGAAACGATCCATCAAATCAAAGAATTTTGGTTGAATGATGTTCCATTGTTCAGCTTTCGTTTCTATTAATTGCTCATTCATGTACAAAAGAAATAAATGTTTTTGATCTTGACCGTACTGATTTGGTAATAAATGAGGAGTTGAATATTCATCGATTAAATAACAACCACGATTCAATGCTAAACTGAGCATATTAATTTTGTCTTTTAATACATAGCTTTGTTCGTATGAATTTACGACTTCATCCAACAAGCTTTGTTGAAGAAATTCCATTTCATTCAAATTATTTACACGAAGTTCTAATAATAGATCTGCTAATTTCTTACGATACGCGAATTCACATATCGAAATTGCTAGTTTCTTGTTTTCTATTTTTGCACGGCTTACTTTTGAAATACAGGCTTTTACGCTTAAATATGTTTCATAATACTGATTATACTGACGTTTTAGTTTCAGTAACTGATCGGCATTATGATGCATTTTTACCATGATCACTTCTGTGATATCTCGAATTGTTAGATTATCGACTGATGTAGCACCAAGTCGATATTTAATCATATCAAGCGGATAAAGAATGTATTCAATTGGTTTAGCCTGAATGTTCTTCGTATATTGAGGAAGTTTTCGAAAAAAAGCTATTGCTTGTTCAACATTCTGTGGTAGTTCATCTTCCAAGTTGAAGTCAGCATAGATCTTTATATTAAATGAATTAACTGTACTTACTTGGGTTTCATTTAGAACAGTATTAACATTGCCTGAAGCAGTCGTGACAAGAGGTACTCCACCCATCGCTACTTTTAATTTGCCTTCAATTTCTTTTTTGTCTTCGCTTTTCGCCACATGCCGCTCGAAATTTGCACAAACACAATAACCATAGACGATACCAAAAACAACATGTGTGGCTTCTGACGGTTGACAATCAAATGTGATATTT